AAATTAATCAAGATTCAATATAATTTATAAATATCAAAAGATTAATAAAAAAAATAAAATAAATAGTACCAATAATTTAGTTAAATTGATATTAATTAATTTAAATTTTTTATGATATTCAGGATAACTACAATTTAGTTAACTAACCAGTGGACTACGGATTGTTAAAAAGACTCGTGGGCAACGCTTTACAATAAAGTAAATTCCAACAAAAGTTTATATAATTATATTGTTAAATAACTAATCACAGTATTTTTTTTTTTGGAACAAATTGTGAGGGACGGCTTCGAAATTTGCTCACGAAGGAGAGAGAGTGTATTTTAAATTAGTAGGGTGTGAATTGATCGAAGGGCTTGGTGTAACTAATTCATAATATATTAAAAATAATTTTAAATTATTTTTTATTTTAGTTAATGTAAATCTTATAAAATTTTTCATATTTTCGAACTCATTTTGCCTGTATACTTGAATGGGTTATAATATATATATATATATATATATATTCTTAATAAGTAAAAATGGAGATCATATATTAAAAAAAGAAAAAGAGAAAAAAAAGAGGAGAAAAACTTTAAAGCAGCGACGACTTGAGCTAACGACCCGCAGTTAGTCTTCTCTCTGTTTGCTTATAAATTGAGCTCTGGTTCCATTATAATTTACACAATCAAAGTTTGATAAAGACAATTAGAAGAAAAGATCACAGAGAGAATCAGAAGAGAAATGGATTCGCCGCCGCCGCCGCCACCGCCACCACCTCCGAGGAGTTACCGCCTTATTACCCTCATACTGAAGCTCCTGACCATCGTTTTTCTATTGACAGCACTAGTTGTCCTCACCACCGATACTGTAACCGATGAACATTACGACAACAGTACAGATGGGAACGTCAACACAGTTGGGTACGTCAGTGTGCGTATGCATTTCAAGGACATAAACAGTTACCGGTAAGTCATCCTAATATATTAATTAACTAACCTTACAATTTTTAGGATCAATTTTCACTAACGTTACCGTACTGGTATGCCTTATGCTCAGTTAACACGTTTTTGTTGCACTTACAGGTACTTACTTAGTACATGTGTAATCGGAATGGCATACACACTATTACAAATTGTATTCTCATTTTATCATATCAGCACCGGAAATAATTTAAGCAGTCCGACTTTTGATTTCTACGGTGACAAGGTATATTATAGTTTAAATTCACAAGCTAGATTTTAAAAGACTAAAATATCACA